AAAAAAAAAATGTTTTGTGTTTTTTGTTTTGGAGCCCAGGCTGGTCTCAACTCTTGCTCCTCCTGCCTCAGTTTCCCTGAGTGCTGGGATTAGAGGCTTGGGCCACCATGCCTGGCTTCCCAGTTTATGAGTCAACACGATGTCTACCCCTGGGCTGTAATCTATAATCTGTCCACACTCAGTACTTGTCTTTCTTGCCAGCAGGATCCCAAAGACCCACTTCTGTGGCTCTAGCCGCTCAGTTCCCGGTCCGGGAGGGGGATGGGGTGCACATGGCGGAGGGAACGGCATGATCGGGATCAGTGCACGACGTGGCACACGACACATGGTCCAAAGTGTCCCCCACCCACTCTGCACCCGGCCCCATGCATGCCCCCAAGGCGGCCCGGAGGCTCACGTACGGCGCCTTCTGAGAACAGGCGCTCGGCGGCCCGTGTGCACAGGCAGTGCGCTCGGCCCTAGAGCGCCCCTCGTGACTCTGCGCCCGGACAGTGCCGGGCGGAGCTTTTGCACTCGCTGCAGCACGCCGAGGGACTATAAAGGTAGCGCGCGGAGGGCTGCGCGCCACCACGCCTGGAGGACTCCTCTAGCATCTGTGCGTGCTATCCGTAGGACTCCAGATCAGCCGCCGCTTTGCTCGCCATGGACCCCAACTGCTCTTGCGCTACCGGTAAGGAGGTTTAACCTAGTGTGGGGCTGGAGTGACGGTTACCAGCCTTCCCGCTCTCCTTCCCCACGGTTAAGGGACAGTACTTATCTACCTCTCTCCCCTTCCCAGGTGGCTCCTGCACCTGCGCCGGTTCCTGCACCTGCAAAGAATGCAAATGCACCACCTGCAAGAAGAGTAAGTGGGACCCTCTCTGCCCTCTTCCCGTCATTGCCCCCAACCTCTGCCCAGTCGGCCACACCGTCCTGGGGGGAATATAGCAGCTCGGGAGGTCATGCATCGCCCTGCTCGAAGTTGGCGCCTCCAGTGATCCCTGTGAGGGAGTGCGGGAGCCGCTCTCCCTTCCTCCCCAGTACTCATCTCTGCCGCCCTCTCCCCGCAGGCTGCTGCTCCTGCTGCCCAGTGGGCTGTGCCAAGTGTGCCCAGGGCTGCGTGTGCAAAGGGGCTTCCGACAAGTGCAGCTGCTGCGCCTGATTGAGTCGAGCCCTGCTTCCACGTGTACATAGAATGACAGAAACAACTTGTATTCTAAAAAAAAACAAAAACAAAAAAAAAAACCTGACCCATTTGCTACGTTTCGTTTTGTATGAAATTATGTGACTGATAATAAAAGTTGTTAACTGATTTCCAACTCCCGTTTTGCTTTGTGCACCTTGGAAATTTCACAGGGTGGAAATCAGGGTGAGGGATTAAACTAGGAGTTCTGAGCTCTGGGGTGAAATGTTAGTCTATGGGTTCTGGGCTCTGGGCTGAGGAGTGACCTACAGCAAGCTAGGAAACCTTGCTGAGCGCTATCTCTAGAACAGTGCACCATGTTCTGTGGTGGGTTCTGGGTAGGTACAGGATGTTCCCAACACAGAAACTTCTTAAGGTATACTTTTATCTATTTTATGTCTCTCTGAGACAGGCTCTGGCTATGCAATTCAAGCTGGCCTTGAGCGCTGGTCTCAAATTCAAGGATCCTCCTGCCTCAGCGTCCTGAATTCTGGGATTATAGATGTGCTCCATTTTACTGGATTTTAGGTTTATTTTATGTATTTAAGGCAGGGTCTACAGGGTCTCACTACATAGACTTGTAGTGATCCTCCTGTTTTCAGTCTCCCAATGCGCTGTGATTATAGGCCGTCACCACTACACCCACAGTCTCAATCTCGTCTCAGCAAGCCCCAAGTACCCCGCTGCTGCACTCTGCCTAAGCAGTCGGTTTGGTCCGCTGAGCTATCAGGCCGGTCCTGGATTTTAGGTTTAAAGTGTTACAAAGTTGTGTGAATTCTCTCCCCTTCCCCCTTTCTGATCCTAGGAATTGAACTCAGGGAGCATTGAGCTACATCCCCTGGCCTTTTAAATTTTGAGACAGTGTATGACTAAGAGGCACAGGCTGGGCTTGAACTTGCTCTCCTACATCAGCCACTGAGAAGCTTCAATTACAAGCATGAACCATTGCACGCAGTTGCTTGAATCTTAAGGTGCCTTATGTGTGTAATGAGCTTTTGTTTTCTATCAGTTACAGACTTAAACTTTGGTGAAAACAAAAGAAAGTCAGGCTTGGTCACACAGGCTGAAACAGGAGGATTGAAAGTTTGAGGCCAACCTTTCCAATTTAGTGAGACCTTGTCTCCATATTTTTAAAGGACTGAGGAACATTCACCTAGGACACGGGTGCACATATGCTTAGTCCCTAGTTCTCCCCAGTAAATAAAAATCCCAAAGCACTGGGATTACAGGTGCGCACCACCATGCCCAGTCGCAGTTGCCGTTTTAGGGTGCCCTGCGGCACAGCATGCCGGGGATCAAACCCAGCTGCTGCCAGCCTGTATCACTGGGTGGGTTTTGATGTCAGGCAATCCCTGTTCACAGCCCACTTCATCACTTAATGGCTGGATCAATAAGATGCAAACATAGGAAAATACAAAATTAATTTCTGATTCAACAGGAAAAAACATTCTTTTTAATGTATGAAGAACAAAATAATGGGAAATAGGACAATTACAAACACTACAGTTAGACAAGGCTAGGCATCGCAGACTAGAAGCACTTTGTGTGGCCTGGATCTCCCTGCAGGGACCCCTCAGTCTTGACTGTGTAGGGATGAAGGTAGGACTCTCCAGCAGCTCCCCACTGAGACTTTGCTGTGAGTTTCTGAAGATCTTTCCAATCCCAGCCCCTTCCTGCTTGGAACTTGCAAAGTGACAGGATTTGGACAAAATTACCCAGGATTTTTCTGGTATGATCAGCACCAGATAAAATACTTCCATTTCTCACTGACTTCTGTGGTTTGGAGGGTGAGGCCTGGGTGGCTTATAATTAAAACTGACGGTTAGCACCTCTGGCTATTTGTTGAGTGAATGCTATTTGATGTTCTGTCCAACAGGAAAATGAGTGTTGGCCAAAGGTAAGGACTAGTTTGCCCTCCAATTCCCCACAAGAACGGGCAATTTCAGAAGCCAGCCTGTGCCACTGGGTGGGTTTGGATGTCAGGCAGTCCCTGTTCACAGCCCACTTCACCACTTAATGACTGTATGACCAGGGCAAATCACTGAACCTCTCTGAGCTTCCAGTTCC